GTTACTATGATTTGGCTGTATCTGCTGTACACACTGCAGGTCAGAAAAATAGGGCAGTCTTCATCTTGTAGGACAAAAAAAAGGCAATGAACACAGTTCTAGCACACAAAGAGTCTTGTTAAACATTGTCGTGCTTCAGTGTGTAACTGTCTTAGCTATGAAGAAAGCCTCAAAACAGAAAACTACCTCATCATTCACAGGAGACCAGAACTCCAAGGAAGGCAAAGGTAGAGGATTTGGGTAAGTTTATACATTTTTTCAGGCCCAATTAGTTTAAATAAAAACCCTCAAGACCTCCATCATCACCTCCGAGCATGACAGACGGATTCCCCATTACAAAGGGCGCTCTGTCCTCACTATCTGACACTCCCAGGAACTTTGCAGGCAGAATGGGACAGCTCCCCAGAAAAAAAAACAAGCCTGAAGCACAGCTACTGCTTATACAATAGATGTTTGTCACCATTGTCACACCATCACAAAGGGGAAAGAGGAAGCACGAGCTGCAATATTGGCCCTTGTTATGAAAGCAGCAGCTCTGTTCAGGCAGGAAAATAAAAACCACTGAGCAATCGGAAGAAAAGGATTGTTAAAACAAACTGCAAATGAGCACAGGAGCAACAGGGAAGTCATCCAAAGCAGAGATAAAAAACCAACATCCATCACCTCCGCCACAGAGCTCCTGTATCATCTCCCTGGGAAGGGCTGTCCGGGCTCCCCCTTCTGCTCCCAGCCCCGGGGCTGCTACCCCAGGAACCAAACCCCCCTGCTTCCACGTCCCTCCACCCCCTCCCTGACCTTTTCCTGCTGCCCAGCCGCTTCCCGGCACTCGGGAGGACCTGCCTCCCCGCTGCCCTCGCGGGAAGCGAGGCACGAGGCCCGGGGCAGCCAAGCCCTCGGGAGCAGGAGCAGCTGAGGATGCACACCCCTTCCACAGCACTTCGAGCTCAGCCGCAGGGAGCGAGCTCCCCAAGCCTCCCCCGGCGTCCCTTCCACCAGGGATACGTCACCGCAAACGCTTTAGAGAACGCTCCGCACGGATCTCTGCTGCAGAGCTAGAAGGAAAGAATTATTAAAGAGAAAAAAAAAATCTCTCATGGCAGAGAGAAACGTCAGGTTTAAAATGCAGGAACTGGCAGAGATCCTTGTGCTTCAAGGAGATCCGACCAGAGACACTGTGCTAGCTGCTGGCCGGGTGAACGCTTCACCTCCCCTCGCCATGCATCAGCTCTCTCGCAAGGCTCTCTCTTGGCCCTGCAATTACAAGACAAACCGCCTTATACAATCCAATTGTTTTAATCGCATTTTCCTTGTTTTCAGCAGCAGGACTACATGATTCATGAACCTGTGGGATGGGTTACTTCTTGAAGACCAACCTAAAAAGGGAAAAAATACTACCAAGAAAAAGCAGCTAAGGAGGCTAAAGAGCATCTCAAAACTTGCCCCCTCAAAGGTCTCTGACCACCTAGACTCAGAGACACTCCTAGAAAAGTTTCTTCTGCCCCAAGAAAAAAGCCTACAGATATAAGAATGAACAAGTGCTATCCTTTATCCTAAAATACGCTTAGCACCTGCAGGTAAGGATTTAGGAATCAGGAAGTGCCTTCACCCAATTATATTTAGTGTCAAAAGAGGAAAAAAAAGCAAAGAAACCCAACACACATGGATGTCTAAGCACGCTGGCTAAAGAGCTCTTTGACTACCAAATAAGTATTACTGTCAATGGCTATTACTGTTGGAGTGAAAACAGAAAGCAACTCCCCTGAAAATGCTTTTCATCCTTAAAAAAAAAAAAATAAAAAAGCAATGAAGATAGGGAATGTTCCACCCTCTATCCAAACCAAACTTGGGGAGATGTTTTTCTTATTCTGGGGAGAAGCAGCAATTTCCAGAACAAAAATGCCAATCTTCACCTTTCTCAAATCTAAGCCTGTTGTTTACATCTTTAAATTAACTGTGCAGATCTCCTGCTGAAAAAAAAACAATTAAGAACACTAAATTTAATAGCAGGTTCAGACTACTTAACCTGAGAGGCGTTAATTTACTATTAAAAGTAATTGACCCCTGTAAGGAAACAGCTGAGTACTTGACATAATGACAAAGTTGTTCCGAGTAAGACCCAGGCTGTTGACATTGTGCAGCTCTGAACAGGACTTACTGGGGCAAGATCCCCCACAGCAAGATGCTTTTTAAAAACCTCCAGGGGACCTGGTAGGCAGAAGATTGATGGGCTCCAGCTACATCAACAACGAGTAGAATAGCATTCGCTTACCGTCAGTGACGCCTGCAAATAAGCAAAGAAAGTTCCACTATAAAAAAAAAAAAAAAAAACAAAAACCTTGGATCATGGCCTTAATTTAATCTACAGACCTGTTTCCCTTCCTCCTTCTGTCACTCTTATCTGAACACTGCTACCACAGGCCTGCATAAACAGCACGGCTTGGCCTAGAAAGTGGTCTGCTTTCCCCTTTGATTTTTATCAGTTACACTGACAAAAGATAATTCTGCTTTCACAACCTTTTATTCCTGCTATTACTCAGGAGAAATCCACATTTTGCTCTCCTGCCAGAACGCCTCTAGAGCGGTGAAAGATTGGGATGAAGGCGAGTGCCCCACGGTGCTGCCGGGAGCGGATGCACCAAAGCCGCAGCCGAGCGGATCGGCTTCCCAAGCGCTCCTCCATCAACAGCCGCTTCTGAAACCACCGGAGTGGCGGGCGGTCCCCACCAGCGCCCGTGCGGCCACCTGCACCAGGCACCCTCCAGAGGTGCCTTTGCTCCAAAGGCAAACCGCCGGGCTCCCCGGGGAATGCCCCACGCGCTGCGGGTGAGGGGGGACGCAGCCACCTGGACGCGCGCGGGAATAGCAAAGGCAGGAGGTGGTGGCCGAGCGCCAGCCCGACACGCTCGGGGTGCCAAAGGCTGCCGACACCTCAGGGGCCCCCCGGGCATCCCGCTGGCACCGGGGGAGAGCGGACACGGGTACCCACAGACTCTGCCTGCTGCCGCACCCCATCTGAACGGAAGGCAGAGAGCCTGAGAACGCGTGAACCGCGTTCCCGCTGTACCTTCACGCATCTGTGCGCCCCTTCGCCAACCCGCTCTGAGAGAGTCCCCCAAAGCAAAGGTCCTTAACGGTGTGGAAGATTCTTTCACACGGCCGCACAGGTTTACATGCCAGTGAACTGCTGTTACCGTAAAACTTCACAGTGTTCTTACTGTTTCAAGAAGCACGGCAGGCCCTGAGCGCTTTTAGAACAGTTGAGTCTTACTTCATCCAAAAGCACTGCATGGCTTTTTTTAAGCCATAGGTGCAAAGACCATGCCCTCTGCTACAGGGATTCCTGGGGTGAGCTGCCCGCTGCGGGGCAGAGGACCAGGCACTGTCAGATCGAACCATAGCACGAGGGCTTCAGCTGGGAGAATGCCACGGTACGAAACACGAGTTAGCACGAGCAGGAGGTTACAGTCTCGCACACCTGCAGCGCGCTCCCCAAACCAGCCCCAACTCCCAAGCGCTCGGGGAGACTGCGAGGCACGCTCCTCAGCGGCCTCCTCCCGTGCACGCTCACGGACCCCGGCTCCGCCGCAACAAGTCGTCGCGACTTTCCTAACGGCAGCACGGCGGAGGCATGAAACAGCAAAACGGGCGCTTTCACCCGTAAAAAGCAGCAGAGCCCTCTGTTCCAACGCCCATCGGTGACAAGCGTAGCGGCAGCGCCTTGACCGCGGGCGCTCACCCCGGGGCCAGGGGGGGTCTGCTCCTCCCGAGGGGCACCGGGAAGCCGGAGCGACTGGAGGGGCCGGAGAGCTGCCCACACCGTGCGAGGGCTGGGGCGGGCGACAAGGCCACGCCGGCCGTGCCACACGTTTGCTGGTGTCACACCTTTTCTAGGGCACGCCACACGTTTGCTGGTGTCACACCTTTTCTAGGGCACGCCACGCGCTCTCTGGTGTCACGCCTTTTCTGGTGCACACCACGCGCTCTCTGGTGTCACACCTTTTCTGGTGCACACCACGCGCTCTCTGGTGTCACACCTTTTCTGGTGCACACCACACGCTCTCTGGTGTCACACCTTTTCTAGGGCACGCCACGCGCTCTCTGGTGTCACGCCTTTTCTGGTGCACACCACGCGCTCTCTGGTGTCACACCTTTTCTGGTGCACACCACGCGCTCTCTGGTGTCACACCTTTTCTGGTGCACACCACGCGCTCTCTGGTGTCACGCCTTTTCTGGTGCACACCACGCGCTCTCTGGTGTCACACCTTTTCTGGTGCACACCACGCGCTCTCTGGTGTCACACCTTTTCTGGTGCACACCACATGCTTTCTGGTGTCACACCTTTTCTGGTGCACGCCACGCGCTCTCTGGTGTCACACCTTTTCTGGTGCACACCACATGCTTTCTGGTGTCACACCTTTTCTGGTGCACGCCACACGCTCTCTGGTGTCACACCTTTTCTGGTGCACACCACACGCTCTCTGGTGTCACACCTTTTCTGGGACATGCCACACGCTCTCTGGTGTCACACCTTTTCTGGGACATGCCACGCGCTCTCTGGTGTCACACCTTTTCTGGTGCACACCACATGCTTTCTGGTGTCACGCCTTTTCTGGTGCACACCACATGCTTTCTGGTGTCACACCTTTTCTGGTGCACACCACGCGCTCTCTGGTGTCACACCTTTTCTGGTGCACACCACGCGCTCTCTGGTGTCACGCCTTTTCTGGTGCACACCACGCGCTCTCTGGTGTCACACCTTTTCTGGTGCACACCACGCGCTCTCTGGTGTCACACCTTTTCTTTTGCACGCCACGCGTTTCCTGGGGTCACCGCCGGCGCAGCCCGGGCAGGCCGGTCCCGCCGACCCCCCGGAGCCCTCGCCGGGGGGCAGAGGCACCGGGGGGGGGGGGGGGGGGGGGGGGGGGGGGCCGGCTCCGGGCCGCTCCCTCGGCCTTCCCGCCCCGGGGAGCCGCGGCGGCCGCCCCCGCCGCCCCGCTCACCTTGAAGTCGCGGCTGTGCTGCGGGGTGTACTCCAGCGTCCAGAGCGCCCGCACCAGCTGCGCCAGCTGCTCGGTGACCTCGCCGGGGCCGGGCGGCGGGCGGTCGGCGGCGGGGGGCTGCCCGCCGCGGAACTGCTCCAGCGCCAGGAACTCGGCGAAGAGCTCGGTGTTGCTGAGGCACTGCAGGATGGCGTTCATGAAGCAGGTGTTGCCGTGGTTGCGCAGCCCCGCCACGCCGGGCACGGCCTCGGGGCCGCCGGCGGGCCGCGGCGGGGGCTCGGGGCTGCGCGGCGGGCCCGGCGGGAAGCAGCTGCCCAGGCCGCCGGCCGCCTGCGGCGGGGGCAGGCGCGGGGCGTGCGGGCCGCGGGGCTCGGGCTCGCTGCTGTAGTGCGAGAGGGTGGAGAGGGTCTTCAACACGCGGCTCATGAACCCGCCGAGCGACCGCCCGGCCGGGGCCGGGGCCGGGGCCGGGGCCGGGGCGGCGGCGGGGGGAGCGGGGGGAGCCGGGGCCGACCCCGCGCCGCCGCCCGCCGCCCGCCCGCGGAAGAGCCGCTTGCTGAAGGAGCGCTTCTCCTTGGCGCAGCCGGCCGGCGCGGAGCCGCTCGCCCGCGACATGGCGGCGCAGCGCGCATCCCCCCCCCCCCCCACCGCCGCCACCCCCCTCAACCCGCCGGCCGCCGCCTCCCGCCCGCCGGGCCGCAGCCGCCGCGCGGCGCCGCCATCGCAGCGGGCGGGGCGGGGCGGCGCGCCGCCGCGTGACCGGCGCCGCCCCGCCTCCCCGCCGGGCGGGGCGGGGCGCTGCCGCCGCCGCCGCCGCCATCTTTGTTACTGGCGCGGCGGGAAAGGGGCGGCCGGCACCGGGACCCCGCCCCCCGCGGGGGACAACGGGGGCGTGGGTGTCCCCGCCGCGGGGCGGGGCGGGGCGGGGCGGCGGGGGTAGGTACCGGGGCGGCCGCTCCGCCGGGCCATCGGCAGCGGCGGCGGCGCCGGGAGCGCAGCATGGCCCCGGAGGGCGGCCGAGGTGAGGCGGGGCGCCGCTTCCCCTGGAAAAGGGTGGTTTTTCGCTCAGACACCCGCCGCGCGGCTTGATGATGATGATGAGGATGATGATGAGGAGGAGGAGGATGAGGAGGAGGAGGATGGTGGTGGTGGTGGTGGTGGTGGTGGGGAGCGCGAGGGGGGATGCGCCGGTTCACCTCGCCGCCGCCCGTCTCCCCGCAGGTGCCGCCACGGCCCCCGGGAGGAAGATCACGGCCCGCATCAAGAGGACGCTGCCGGTGAAGGGCCCGCAGGCGCCGACGCTGAGCGAGCTGATGCGCTGGTACTGCCTCAACACCAACACCCACGGCTGCCGCCGCATCGTGGTGTCCCGGGGCCGCCTGCGCCGCTTCCTCTGGATCCTGCTGACCCTCAGCGCCGTCGGGCTCATCCTCTGGCAGTGCGCCGAGCTCCTCATGAACTACTACAGCGCCTCGGTCTCCGTCACCGTCCAGTTCCAGAAGCTGCCCTTCCCCGCCGTCACCATCTGCAACATCAACCCCTACAAGTAAGGCGCGGGGCGCAGAGCGTGGTCCCCGGCTGCCGGGGCTCCCGCCGAGCTCGCCGGCCCGGCACCGCGCCCCTTGCCCGGCTCCCCGGCACGGCTTTCCCCCCGCGGGCTTCCCCCCGCGGCGCTTCGGCTTCGGTGGCCGCCCCTGTGCCGATGCTCTTCAGACATCTGCGGATTGCGAGCTCCCCCTTCACTTGCCGCCCGCGGAGCTTGACTCCGTCGGTTTTAGCTTTCTGCTCCGGACAGGCCCTGCTCGGCTCCGTGGTCCTCTTCAAATTCCCTTCTTCCCAAGACCAAAGTTCCAGGATTACAAACAACTCCGGCTCCTGAAGAGTGGAAAGGGACCATCTGTCGCTCCCTCTGTTGCCTCTTTTTTTTTTTTTTTTTTTTCCTTATAGGATGCTTTGACTTTATCAATCAGCGATACTTTTTCTGCTGCCAAATTACACTTTACATTGATGTCTGTTCTGCTGCCAGCTATCCACCCCGGTCCCTGCAGGCGATCCAGCTCTCCCGTGTCTCTTGGCACAGATGCAGAAATCTTATTTCCACACGCTCTGCCTCCTCAGGCTTGCTAACACAACCTTCAGGGAGCTTGGGAGCCTGTGAGGGCTTTCTCTGCAGTTCAGTCTGCTTCTCCCCTTGCGGTCCTTGCTCTGAGATCTCTCTGAGGGCACAGCTGTGTCTGCCCACACCAATGTGAATTGATGTGGTAGTAAGAGAGACTGATGCCTGTGACAAAGAATTCTGTCCTGAGCAATGAGATTTGCAGTGCAGCGGGCAAAACGCTGCAGCTGGGCGGTGAGGTGAGATGGGATGTCACTTCTGTCACCTTGTCTCCAATGCAGGTACAGTTCCATGAAAGACTATTTATCTGAATTGGACAAAGAGACAAAAAAAGCTTTGGAGACTTTCTACGGATTTTCAGAGGGCAAGTCCAAGGTGCGCCGGTCGGTGGGTGAGTGGAACAGCACAGGGAGCGACTTCTTCCAACAGATCCCTCTGCTGAAGTTTGAGGACTTCACTAAGACAGCGACTGACCTTCGCAGTGGCCAGAAGAGAAAAATAGAGGGCAGTGTCTTTCACAAGGATTCGTCCATAGTGAACTCTGGGGATTCGAATGATATCATTGGCTTTCAGCTGGTGAGTGTCACAAGTTCCTTGTGGGGCAATGAAGGGCCATTTTGGGTTGGTATCCCTCCGGCCAGTTGTGTTGACTGCTTAGGTGGCTTTATAGTGAATAACACTCCATCTGCACTTTTGCCCGTGCCCCCATGGCTGCCTGCAGGTTCACCTCCAGCTCTCTGGAAGAGAAATACCTTCCTGAAGTCTGCCCAGAGAGACTTAGAGCCTTCTGTGACCCTTTCCTTTGGGCCCGAAACATTTGATCGTATCGCTCAGCCCCAAACGAAGGGTCTTTGATGACTCTCTGTCCCCTTTGTGCTACTATAACTTCCTACATGGTTATTACTGTGGAAGAGAAACAGTATTACGCATACCCTGTAGAATACATAATTTCATTTCATCTGAAATGCTTTTTCTCCTTTGTAATTATCAGTGTGATGCAAACAACAGCAGTGAGTGCGCACTTTATACATTCAGTTCTGGTGTTAATGCTATCCAAGAATGGTACAAGCTGCATTACATGAACATCATGGCACAAATTCCCCTGGAGACTAAAGAAAAATTGAGTTATTCTGCTGATGACCTTCTACTGACATGTTTCTTTGATGGCCTATCTTGTGACAAAAGGTCAGTGCACAGAAAGTACCTGCCAGCTTAACAGCTTATTTCCAAGTACATAATACATAGGAATTGAATATTTGGTATTTGCCAAATTCCAGCGGGAACCATTTGCATTTTCAAACGAAAGCGAACATTTGCGTCTTCATGAACGTAGTTGTGCTCTTTAATTGTCTTAGTGTTCTGCTGTCAGCATTTCAGATAAGCCCACATTTTGGGGCAGAATCAAATCTACCTGCTTACGACTGTGGCGGGGCAATTCTTGCGTGTCCTGGGAGACTCATCCCCCCGAGCTGGGGGTAGCGGCAGAGTTCCCCTGCCCAGCTGTGGGGATGAGGTTGCACTTGTACCCGGGTTTAGCCATTTCCCCACTGCCATGCACGGAGCAAGCTGTGCTGTAACTCTCATTCCTGAAGGCGTTCTGCTTGTGTCTGCAATCGTGCAAACACGTAATGTCTTTTCTTGAAATGAAGACATTTGCTTGAGTGGGAGGGGATGTTCACAGGGAAGACATGAATGTGCTTGAATCACGAGGGTGTGTCCTCAGCCTCCCCTGCATGACGGTGGCTATGACATCTTTGCTGAAAAATTAAGATTGGCGTTCCTCTAGACTCTTGGCTGTCAAACGAAAGAGGAGTCTGTCCCCTCCACCGCCGCCTTCCTGCTAGTTCTGTAAATCCACTTCCCCCACCTCTCAGCCCCCATTCCCATGTGAAAATCTCCTAAACTTTTAATTTCCTGATGCTATTAAACTAGATCATATTTCCATGTAGTTTCAGGATATTAAGAAGACGACCCACGCTTTTCAGCAAAATAAATTGCTTGCCAAAAAAAAACCCAAACAAACAAACCAGAAACATCAGATCCTGCTAGGTCTCTGTCAAAACAAAAAGCCCAAATCTGCTGATTTTCTCCCACAGACAGTTAAAACTGCAGAGAGCAACGTAACAGTGTTTGATTTCTTTCAGGCACTTCACTCGTTTCCATCACCCCCTGCATGGCAATTGCTATACCTTCAACAGTGGAGAAAACGGGACGATCCTGAGCACCTCCACCGGCGGCAGCGAGTACGGTAAGGCGCGGGGTTTGCAGAGGGACTATTAGATAACGAGCGGTTCAGCGAACTGGATCCTACTGGAGAGTGATTGATGTGTTGGCTCTAGATGTGCAAGCTGATTGGGGAAATGCTTGTTTGAACTAGTGCAAACTGTTGCCAGAGAATACAAAGATAATATCATTGCATCACTAATGTTTTCCATCTGAAATTACTGCTTCCCAGTTCTGTCACTTTTTAAAGTAAGTTTCAGCCGCGTTCTACAGAGAGAGACATTATTTGTTTGCTGTACCCGGGGCCGCGGAGGGACGGACGTTGCTTGCTGCAAGTGACTCAGTCGAGTCCTGCAAAGGCTTTGCTTGGTTGTTACGGTTCTACTTAAGGCCAGATAATATTAAATAAACAGTGCTGCCCTCCCTGACCAGAAAAAATGGCTCTGGCTTCTGGTATAACTGCTCCTGCCTTGTCTCTGTTCTTCAGGACTGCAGGTTGTGCTGTATATTGATGAAGCAGACTACAACCCCTTCCTGGTGACGTCTACCGGAGCCAAGATCATTGTCCATGACCAAAACGAATATCCCTTCATTGAAGACATCGGCACAGAAATCGAGACCGCAGCGGCCACCTCCATAGGGATGCACTTTGTGAGTGACAGCGATCTTGTTTCCAGGTGCAGGGCACCATTTCCTTGAAACAGGTGTAAATAGGAACCCATATGGTGTTTGAATGTAGCCAGCAGCTGGAACACGTCTAACACCCCACCCTTGAGCAGCTGAAGTGCCCCGAGGAAAATCCTGTGATAGCACTTTTCTGAACAGAGTTTTCCCTGGCGCAGGGGCTGTTGGAAAATCAGGTCTTTATAAACCGAGCAGCTACTGGGACTTTGTTTGTTCTCCCTTTTCTCCGACCCCTTGGCTTTCCAGGGGATTTTTTTTGTTTGTTTTCACAGCAAAATCCACAACCAAAGAAGTGTGTTGTCAAGTGCCTCGTTTCGCTTTAGCAATAAGCAGACGAGTTTGCATCCCACGCAGGTTCCAGGGGCGGAAGAGAACGAGCTCGTGTTGTGGGTAACCCACGTTAGGGTCAGGCCCGTAGAGACAACTGCAGTGCGACGCACTGAACTGCTTCGTGGGTGTAAGTCTCGTTCTGCTGGCTCTCTTGGGTTTCTTGCTATCCCAGCTGTAAAAAAATACTCGTGGGCAGTGACTCTGCCTTTGCCAACTTAGCAAAGCATCTTGCATCTCGTTTTGTTGGGTTTCTTGCTATCCCAGCTGTAAAAAAACCCC